ACACGCGTATACATACACAGACGCGCACAAAGAGAGAGAGAGAGAAGAGAGAAAAGCAGTAAAACCTTGTAGAAAGTTATCTCTCTTCCGGTGACAGGATGCGCAAAAGACACGTGATTCTGTAACAACGCATGCGCCCTGAAGTACCCCATGACCCCCCCTCCCCCTCCCCCTCCCCCACTTTCAACCACTCATCTGCCTTCCATCTTCCTTCCTGGTATGACATAGTGTGTGTGTGGGGGGGGGTGAAAGCTGGCTGTAAAACTATATGTGGATATAGGGTGTCATTAGCATATGTTAATATATGTGCATATGTTATTTTTTGTGATACATTGAGATTTTTTTCATTATTATAATCGACGATTTGAAAAAAAAAAAAAATCTGACATGAATAATTTCACTGTGGTTTTGGTGAGGCCCAAACAATCAATATGTGGTGTGTGTGTGTGTGATTGTGTGTATGTGTGTGTGTGTGTGTGTGTGTGTGTGTGTGTGTGTGTGTGTGTGTGTGTTTGTTTGTGTATTAAAAAGATCAAATGCTATAAACCATTAGACTTCCTCTCAAACAGAAGATTCAGAAGGTGCTCGGCAATCAGGACAAATCCCTCATTCTGGGGCAGGGTTTATGAATTGTGTTCGGTGGCCGGCGGCTTTAAGGTGTTTCAACCCCCCCCCCCTTCCTTGGCTCGATTCCCCTTGGGTATGGTGGGGGGGGGGAGTAAAGGAGAAAGAGATTAGAGCCCCCTGGCAGAAAGACAGTTGGAATAATCACCGATGATTTTTTAGAGCGTGTGTGTGTGTGTGTGTGTGTGTGTGTGTGTGTGTGTGTGTGTGTGTGTGTGTGTGTGTGTGGAGACAAACGTACTTGCATATATGTTTTATAGGTAGGATTGTTTTTCTGTCTTTTGTTATTAACTTAGCATGATTATCATTCGTCTTCTTTTTTTCAACATATTCATTACCTCTTTCTCTTCCAGCTTTTCTTCCTTCCCCATTTCGTCCTTCACGTCTTTCTCTCTATCCCTCCTCGTCAGCCCCACCTTTCTTCTTCTTTTTATTATAGTTCAATCTCCATCCTTTTCCTCCCCCCCCTCCTCTCCTCTCCTCTTCCCTTTTATGACGTTCATCCTCCCCTCCTCTTGTTTTTTTCATTCCTCCCTCTTTTTCCTTCTCTTCTTCCTCCCTTCCATCCATCATCCTCCTCTTCTACGTTCCACCCCTCGCCCTCCCTCTCAGTCATCTCCATCAGCGTTTTCTCCTCCACTTCTTCCTCCTTCCATCTCCCGCCCTCCTTCTCCACCCTCTCCATCAGCGCTTGCTCCTCCACCCCCCTTCCACCTTCTCCACCATCTCCATCATCTCCATCAATGCTTCTTCCCCCACCCACTTTCTCCATCCTCTCCATCAGCGCTTGCTTCTCCACCCCTACCCCCCCACCTTCTCCACCCTCTCCATCAGCGCTTCCTCCTCCTCCTCCACCCCCACTCCCTCCACCTTCTCCACCATCCCCACCATCTCCATCAGCGCTTCTTCCTCCTCCCTCCCCCCCCACCCTCCGTCTCCACCATCTCCATCAGCACTTGCTCCTCCACCCCCCACCCTCCCTCTCCACCATCCCCACCATCTCCAACAGCGCGTCTTCCTCCTCCACCCCCCACCCCCCCACCTTCTCCACCATCCCCACCATCCCCACCATCACTAAAAGGTTTCATCGACGGAATGACCGCATTCTGTAGCGGGGCGAGGGACGTCGGGAGGTAGGTTACATTCCTCGCGTTCCTGGCCCTTGCATAACCCCTGGAATAATAATAATGGTAATGGCGACAGCTATGAGACAGGCGGCAGGGAGATTTATTCTGTTTCTCCTTATCTTTTTTTTCTGCTGTGAGACTCGTGTTTTTTTTTTTTTTCAAGATTTCCTTTTTTTCAGATTTTTTTTTTCTTTTTTCTTCTTTTTCTTTTTCTCTTTTTTCTTTTTCTTTTTTTTCTTCTTCTTTTTCTTTTATTTCTTCGTCGTGGCATTTCATTTCCTGTTTGGCGCCGTGGTATACTTTCCGTGCTTCTGTTCCCCAGGTTCCTTTCTCACAGTTTGAATCCCTTGGCGAAATTTAGTACTTTTCTCCGCCCCCCCCCCCCCCATCCCGCTCCCATCATATCCCCCCTTAGGGCGATCACCTTTCCCCTCCCTATCCCCCCCTCCTTCCCTCCCCCTGGTTGGATCCTTTTCTTCCCTTCCTTTCCTTCTTCCCTTTTCTTCACCCTTTCCTTTCGCCCCTTTCATTTCCTTTCCTATCCTTCGTTTTCGTCTTTCCCCTTCTCTAAACTCGCCCTTTCTGCCTTTCTCTCTCCCCTCCCTCTTCTTTTTTCATAGTCTTTCGTCTCCTCCCTTTCTCTTTCCTTCCTTTTCGTCTCTCCAATTTCGTCTTTCCCCATCCAATCTTTTCCCATTCGTTCTCCTCTTTTTTTATACTACCTCTTCGTCCTTCCCCTTCCTCACCCTTCTCCTTCGTCCTTCCTCTTCCTTCATCTCCTTATTCGTCTGTTCCTTTCTCTTCCTTCATTTTCCCTTTCTTTTCGTAAATTAATTCCCTTTTCCCCCCTTCCCCACTCCCTCCTCCCTCTCCATTCGCACTCCACTTCTCTTTTCTTCTTTTCCCACTTCCTCTTCCCTCTTCCTCCTCCCATTTCTCCTCTTTCTCCCTCTCCCTCCTCCCATTTCTCCTCTTTCTCCCTCTCCCTTCTCCCATTTCTCCTCTTTCTCCCTCTCCCTTTTCATCACTCCTTCCCTTTCCCGCTCCAGCTCCTCTTTCCCCACCCCTTTCCTACTCCTCCACCCCCTCTGATTCCCCTCCCCTTTCCCCCCTTTCCCACTCACCCCACCTTCCCTCTTCCCCCCCACCCCTCCCTTTCCACCTTTTCCACTCCCCTTCCCCTTTCTCCCCCTCCCCCTCCCTTCTCCGCCTTTCCCACTCCCCTTCCCCCCTCTGCCCTTCCCTTTCCCACTCCCCTCCCCTCCCCCCCTTCCCTTTCCCTCTTTCCCATTCCCCCCCTCCCTTTCTTCATCTACCTATTCTCCAACTATCCCCCCCACCCCATCCCCCACCCCACCCCGCTTCTCTCCCTTCCTGTTGCGGATTCGGTTAGGAAAGGATTTTCGTTATTGTGGCACGATTGTCTCTAGCGTAATGCCTGGCTCTGGTGTGACCTTTTGGCTGTGTGTAGCGGCTCTGTGGGGGGGAAGGAAGGAGGCGGGTAGCGGGTGTGGGCGCGGGTGGTGGGGGGAGGTGGGGTGTTCCTGTGTTTCTCGATTCTATCCGTTTTCTCTCTGTCGTTTTTTTTTTCATTTATGTATTTTACTTTATTTTTATTTATTTATTTTAAGTATTTTTATTTTTATTTATTCATTTTTTTTTTATTGATTTATTTATTTGTTTTGTGTGTGTGTGCGTGTGCGTGTGCGTGTGCGTGTGCGTGTGTGTGTGTGTGTGTGCGCGTGTGTGTGTGCGCGTGCGTGCGCGCGGTCCTCTTTTTCTCTCTTTGTCTTATCTTTCTCTGTTTCTCTTTCTGTCTATCTCTTCCTCCTACTCTCTCTCTCCCTCCCTCCTTCCCTCCCTCTCTCTCTCCCTCTCTCTCTCTCTCTCTCTCTCTCTCTCTCTCTCTCTCTCTCTCTCTCTCTCTCTCTCTCTCCTCCTCTCCTCCCTCCTCCCTCCCTCCCTCCCTCCCTCCCTCCCTCCCTCCTTCTCCCTCCCTCCCTCCCTCCCTCTCCCTCCCTGCCTCACTCGCTCCCTCTCTCGCCCTCACTCTCCCTCTCTCCCACCTCTCTCCCACCTTTCTCCCTCCCTCCTTCCCTCCCTCTCCCTCTCTCGCTCACACACACACACACACTTTGTGGATGTACCTATTACTATGTCTACCTATTTCCTTCTCCCTCTCTTTCAGTTACTGCTTCCTCCCACCATTCTTCCCTTCGTCTTGCATCTTCCCTACTCGTTTTTATGTGCGTGGGCGAGTGAACGTTGCTGAGTGATGAACAGAATACATCATTAGAACTGTAACAAAGGGATGTCATGGTCGAAGGAACGCCGTGTAAGTACTTTGAGTGAAGAGTTAAGTCGCTCGTAATGTTTAGTTCGGCAGGAAATGTTATTTATGTGTACGCGACTTCTGGGAGTTACGTTGCGTCGCTGTTCGTGTCTTTTTAATCTTGATATATCTCTCCATCCATCTGTCGTCTTTCACTCCATCCACCTATTCGTCCCCGTGTCTTTTCCACCCCTCCAGCATCGCCCCCCCCCCTCACTTTCCCCTCTCGTTGCTAAGGCTTCTCCGTGTTGCAGGTGAGGAGGTGGGCGCCGCGTGGCAGGATGTGAGGCTCTCCCACCCTCAGTAGTATCATGGCCCAGGAGTTCCTCCCGCTCTGCGATGTGCTCTTCAACATCATCTCGCTGGCGTCCTACTTCTGCGACGTGGTGTTCGACGTGGTCACCATTTACACCCTGTACGAGCATCAGGAGGTGGTGTGGTTCACGCTGTCGCTCTCCTGCGTGCTCCTGTCCCTCGTCGTGTGCCAGCTCTGCTCCTTCAAGTGGTACCTCTCGAGCCTGCGCAAGGACCTGGCCAAGAAGGACTGCGACCTCAGTCTCATGATCCTGCTGCACTTCTTCCAGGGAGGCGTCCTGTGGCGCTACTTCAAGCTCTTCATCCCCGTCGACCTCCGCTACGTGAAGCACGAGGTGCGGGACCTGTGCATGCTCAGGCTCATCCACGCCTTCTGCGAAGCGGCGCCGATGCTGCTCATACAATTGTACCTCATCTGGCGGAAGCCCTCGCTCTCCGAGCTCACGGACCTCAACATCGTCTCCACGGCGCTGTCCCTCTTCAGCGTGTGCTGGGCGCTGGCCTCCTTCAACAAGAATGTCCGGCGCCACAACGTGCACCGGCTGGTCCTCACGTGGCTGGGCGTGATCTTCCAGTTCGTGTGGCGCCTCGGCACCATCACC